CCTAGCTGACGTGTCACAACATTTATTTTTAACCATTTTGAACAAAATAAAATTCAGATTAAATTTTGAATTGCCGCCAAAATAATAGAAAAAGTCAAGAAAGAAATGTTATTCCCCAATTTCAAAAAAAGAACGAGACATGGATTAATTTTTAAAATGTTTCTAATTAGGCGTCCAAGCGGTCAGTAACAGAAAATAAACTCTACTCTGTAAACCCTATTTTGTAATTAAAAGTAAGATATGATTTATATTTTATGCATTTAATGACTTTTTTATTTGAGTCGCTATGTTATTACATGATTATTAATTATTGAATGTGTATATTTTTTACGAACACTTGTAGGTTGAAGTTATACTTTCTTTATTCATAAGAAGTGTTTCTAATTGACCACTACTGTTTAAGTATGTATTTAGTTGGTATATAATTATATGGTTGGTTTGGTTCTAGTAATCGCCTAAGATGAAGTGGGCCTTGTGAAGTGGGATGAAGTCAATGCCGTAAATGCTTGGCTGTAAATGCTTCGCCAATAAAAAAGCAGCTACAATTAGTCAAAACTAGTCTGTAATAGTACCTATTTGTATATTATGTAGCATTTAAAATGTTGACAACCACTGATATAGTTTAATCAGTGCACAAATTTTATCTTAATATTGAAAACAANCGCCTAAGATGAAGTGGGCCTTGTGAAGTGGGATGAAGTCAATGCCGTAAATGCTTGGCTGTAAATGCTTCGCCAATAAAAAAGCAGCTACAATTAGTCAAAACTAGTCTGTAATAGTACCTATTTGTATATTATGTAGCATTTAAAATGTTGACAACCACTGATATAGTTTAATCAGTGCACAAATTTTATCTTAATATTGAAAACAAGCACTAGGGTCAAAATTAATTGAACATAAATTGAATTATTTTCAAATATAATTGTAATTTGATTTTACTATCCGTGATTCGGAAATGTTTGATGGGGAATAATAAATACATTATTGTAATTATATAAACAAAAATGCGATGAAATATATTGTGGAGTAACTGATAAGTTCTGGTTATGTATTAAAACAATACAAAAGTAACAGTATATGTGTGCGAATTTGGAGAATAAATAGAATTCCGAAGACTCTATTAACTCAACTTGAAACATTTCGAAATTGAGGTAGCATTGCTTATTAAAGGCCCACAATTGTTATGTTTATAGACTTCATGCAGAGTCGCCTTGATTGAATCGTATGAAAAGCATTTTCGTAATTACGTTCATCATATTAATAAATCTTAATCTTATTATTATAATTTGGGACTTGTTGACGATTTTCCTTGTTTACGTAAACAAAGATATATAAAAAAAAACCGAACATAAGATCTAATTCTAATTTAAAAAAAGAACGAACAAAAAGAATGAAAACGACTGGAAGTGACACATTAATTTTGTGTATAGCTTCCGATCACTACTGCTGATAGTATTGATAGAAAAAATGAGATTGTCCACATTTGGTGGGATACGAGTAAACTCAAGTAACGCCGGTCCGGTTATTACGTCTGGATTCCGTTTTCACAGACAGATCGATACGGCGGAAGATACGATCCCCAAGATTCCTGCAGTTTGCGTGGTCTAGTCACTATATATGTATAATGGGACATGTCAAGTTTTTATGGCGATCACAGGCAGATGTAAACCAATTTCCAAGTAAATACGCACCCAAAAATTGTTCACGACATCCCCATACAAGAATTAGCGTCCTGATGTAAAAATACAAACATAAAATTTATGCTTATTTAGTGATGGATGGGCGATGGAGATATGCTCTATGCTCGATATCTCTCTAAGGGACAAAATCCGGAACAAAGAAATTCGACGGAGAAAAAAATCGACGACATACCTCTCAAAGTTAGCAGGCTAAACTGGCAATGGGCGGGTCACGTCTGTCGAGCCAGTGACGCCAGGTGGGGGAGGAAAGTCCTCGAATCGAGGCCACGGGTACCAGGAGCTTGGGGCGTCCTCCAATTAGGTGGACCGACGACTTAGTGCGCACGGCGGGAAGTCGTTGGATGTGGAAGACGGAGGACCGCATTCTGTGGAAGGCATTGGGGAAGGCCTATGTTCAGCAGTGGGCAGATAAAGGCTGATGATGATGATGGTCATTTTTTTGCTGAATGAGCACACGACCTCGCTGATGTTAAATAGCTACTAGATCCCATAGACATCAGCAACATAAATGCCACCACCCACCTTGAGTAATGAGTTTTAAGTCTGAATTCTATAGTATAACGGCTGCGTCACCCTTCGAACTGCTTTACGGCAGAAATAGGTGCTATCAGCGCTGACCCTAATGACGCTCTACCACCAGAAAAAAACAGTCAATATTATGAGTATCGAAATATTCATTTTTTCTGGCTAGCGAGATAGTACGGACGTTACTTCTTATTCTATTAGCTAGTCACATAATCCACCTAGTAGTTAGTGGCTATTGGAGCTCACTGATATCACAAAAAAATAGTGCTAACCACCTTGAGATAAGTTAGATGAGGAAGAGATAAGATATAAATCTTCATAATATTTTAATGCACTCATCCTATTGTTCAGACCGGAATGCACAAATAAGTCGCGATAGAAATAAGTTTGATCCATCCTATATCTAAGGTTTCACAGTACGCCACATCAAAAGCCACTTTATGGAGACCTTATAGGGAATGGCAGACAGAATTTGCGATTGAAAAGATATTTAGAGTAAAAATACTTCTTAGTTTACGGAAATATATTAGTAATAACCACTCGACCATTCAAATTTGGTAATACATACATATGTCGCTCTAACATGCGTCCATAGTATAGCATAATACTTTGATTATAACTCCGGTCACCGTTCTCGTCGAACCCGTCGCTTGCGACGAAGGGCTCGACAAGTAAATTAACCCTCAGACACAGCCCACTGGGTTTCTCGCCGGATCTTCTCAGTGGGTCGCGTTTCCGATCCGCTGGTAGATTCTGCGAAGCACGGCTCTTGCTAGGGTTCGTGTTAGCAACGTCGTCAGGTTTGAGCCCCGTGAGCTCACCTACTAGTTAAGGTTCCGCTGAAATAGCCTCTCAAGGCTATCAGCTTAAGTAGGATTTTTTTTTATTTATTATAATTAATATTAAGGGTGTGTGTGTTCAAAATTATTCAAATTCAAATTCAAAATCTTATCTTTTGTTTTCAGGCCTGAGTCCATCACTAACTGCTCCAGTTTTCTTGCAAAGATATTTTTGAAATTATGAGCAGACAATGTGGTAACCTCTTCATACATAAAGTACGCAACAGTAACAGCATGGGCAGAGTGTCTCATTCCTCTTCGTCACAGTATCGATAAACTGAATCAGTTCTAAGGCTTTGGTTTCAATTTATACCAGCGCTTGAAGAGCCGCCCCCTGACTTACACTCATTTCTATCGTGATTTAGTAATTAAAATCAATTGTTACTGTCACGTACTGCCATGTAGGTACTTGTCAATTATTTCATGTAATGCCAAGGACACCGGTTTTAATAAAAACACTTCAGGATGAAATTTGCAGGGTTTGCATTATAATCTTTGACCCAAGGCTTGATGTCTCATGGTGAAGGTGGTTGGTAATCCAGTGGTCATTAACGCATTTAATATTAATTAAGGTTTGTTGGTTGGTTGGTTTTTGATTTGATTTGATTTGTTCATTATCCGATCCTGTAGATCGAATGGTAAACAGTCGACGTCACCAAAAACACGTCATTACGGATCCTCCCGATCCATTAACGGTGCTTTTAGGTACCACGAGCAACGGTTACCGTCCTGGTCGAACCCGTCGCTTGCGACGAAGGGCTCGACAAGCGAATTAACCCATAGACACAGCCCACTGAGTTTCTCGCCGGATCTTCTCAGTGAGTCGCGTTTCCAATCCGGTGGTAAATTCTACAAAGCACTGCTCTTGCTAGGGTCAGTGTTAGCATCACTCCGGCTTGAGCCCCGTGAGTTCACCTACTAGCTAAAGTTACGCTGAAATAGCCTCTCAAGGCTATCAGCTTAGGTAGGACAAAAAAAAGTCGTTTTATTTTGAATTTAATGTTTCTGTAAACAATAGTAGAATGTATATTATACTATTTACCACGTATTCTTATTGCTCGGCTTGCTATCTTACTCTCGACCGATTAGTTTTGGTGATAAATACCATAAAATAGCAGTAAAAGTTGAAATTTCTAATTTAGTTTGATTTCCGTACAATATACCGTTTATTTTATAACTATGTATTTATTACTTACTTAGATTTTGTAATTATATAACAGAAATATATAAAATATTTCATAGTTAATAGATTAATAGAACATTCTTTGGTACCAGATCCCAATACGTCGATTCTAAGTGTGCCGAATCACTAAACTCCGCTGAAATGGCACCTTATGGAATGTTATCAGCATTGAAGCAGTTTCGCCTGTTAATAATATTGCTAAACTTGTTATAGCCCTTTAACTTTACGTACTTTCAATTTCAGTTATTTTGTTTCAGTATCTAAAACCCACAAACTTTATTGGCTTTCCGATTAGTTGCCGTAACCCAAGGTGACAATGTTGGACGTATATCCTGTTTAGTTTGTCTGTTGATATCTGGTAACCAAGATAATAGACGGCGTAATTAAAGTCGATCGAGTGTCGTTCGCAAGAAAGCCGGACGATCAAAATGTTGGATAGAGTTTACAACGATGCAACGCGCCCGCGGACGATATCCGATTCGTATTTATTAATTCTTGGATATAGAGCGTGAAATCAAGCATTCAGGCAAAACAAGAAGTATGTAGGTATATAGGGGCGCAACGTGTGGCTGGTCCTCAGTCGGTGGAGCAGAGCCCCGCGCGCGCCTGCTCTACTCCCGCCGCGACCTCGCATCACCAACAATCGACTCAGATAAAGGAATTCCTATGTGATGTTAGTAAACAAAAAGTGTATAAATAAAAAACTCGTTGTCTTCCCACTCTCAGTCTTGTTGTGAACTCAAACTGATTATCATGTCCCTTCCGGGAGTTTTCCTATTTTCGCACTATGTCGAGAGCTTTTGGGTAAGTTTTTTTTTTATATTTTTTTTTATGCAATTTCTTATTGTATTTGTTTATTTGATGATAAATTATTTCATGTTTAGTGATCACTTTTATTAGAAATATGCTTGAATAGAATTGTAGGGATAATAAAACTTAAATTGAAATTAATTTCAAATTGTGAACTATTCAGTAGTAATTTAATTATTTTATATCAAATAGTACATTCGGTTCAGAGTATTTACTAAAAAGCTAACCATTTAAATTTTTTGTTACTATTAATTTTAAATCAATTTTGGCTCTTAAATTGGCTTAGGTTGCGTGAACATTAGTGCAGAATTCACAATTAAAATTTTTTTATTGAGCGAAACAAATTAATCTAAATTTACGTATACATTTAATCTAAAGTTAAATCATTTAAAAATACATTTAATATTATTGTATATGTTCAGCGAAAACAAACAAATGATAAGTCACATTTATGTAGGTATAGTAAAACAGTTATCGAAGTTCACTATTAAGATTACCTGTTTATTTCGGAAAGAGAAGCAGTTTTAAGCGGTGATACAATTTATTGAAATTTATAATTCTTATGAATTTCTCGTGTTTAATTTGTATAGTGAGAAATGTACCTAATAAAGGAGATATAATATTTTTAACTTTAAATTACATAACGCGTCAGTTAAATACAAAATATTGTGACGGTCGGTAGAGAAAATGTAATACATACATAATTCAGACATTTTTCTTGCGAATTACGAAGCGCTCTACGGTTTGCCTCGCGTGTTTTGGAGATGTTAACTTGTAAACTGATTATTTTATAACTTTTTATGGACGTAAGCTGTATAATAAATATTTTAACTTGTTGTTCGAACAATTTGACCTATTCGTTAGTATAGTCTCGTGAGGTTCGACTGGAAATGTAACGAGAGTTTTTGAGGTAATAAAAATAATAAAAAGTAATAAGGATTAACTTTTACTAGAATTCAATATAAGTTGAGCGAATAATGAAAATAGTTTTGTATAATTCAATTTGTAAACTGAATAGTTCAACCGTAGTTCAAGTCTCGATTGAATAGTTAAGTTTTTGAAGCTCTTGCATACATTCTCTGTGAACATTTACACAGAGCCCGACAACTTTTATTACTTTTTACTTTACTATGTTAAAATAAAATTAGGCAATGAAGTCGTTGTGGCCTAAGGGATAAGACGTCCGGTGCATTCGTGTTGAACGATGCACCGATGTTCGAATCCCAGGCGGGTACCAATTTTTTTAATGATATACGTACTCAACAAATGTTCACGATTGAGTTCCAGGGTGAAGGAATAACATCATGTAATAAAAATCAAACCTGCAAAATTATAATTTGCGTAATTACTGATGGCCGGACCTCTTGTGAGTTCGCACGAGACGGTACCACCACCCCGACTATTTCTGCCGTGAAGCAGTAATGATTTTCGGTTTGAAGGGTGGGGCAGCCGTTGTAACTATACTGAGACCTTAGAACTTATATCTGAAGGTGGGTGGCGCATTTACGACGTAGATGTCTATGGGCTCCAGTAACCACATAACACCAGGTGGGCTGTGAGCTCGTCCACCCATCTAAACAATAAATAAATAAGAAGGCAGCGACTTGCTAAGCCCCTGGCATAGCTGACGCCCATGAGCAAAGCTAACCACCCACCATCAGATAGACCATATACTTGTCTGCCTACAAAGGCTATAAAAATAATATATTTAAAAAATATGCATACATATTTATAAAAAATGTAATAAAATATTTATTATATTAACTTAAATGGAATAATAATCGTTTTATTCTACTTACTTAACATTAAAATTAAGGTTGTTTTAAGGCATTAAATAAAGGCCGTAATATTTTACTGGTATCAAATGAAACGGAAAGAGATATTTATTTTAACTTAAAGGCCTGTGTGACCTAGCGATCGAAAATAATTTAGGCTAATAAAATCTTATTACGATTTTAAGTACTTAGTTAAACTTTTGGAGTTTTTATGATCATAAGTAATTTACAGTAATGTGTAGATAGGTTTATAGTGCAAATTCCACAATTTCCAAAACCGCATCGAAGTCACAGCCTCAAAGCCGCGGCGGCTCACCTTGAAACATTACATGACAAGGCATCCTATCATCGGAACAGGACGCACGACAATGTTATAGCAGATACGGTACCACCCACTCGTATGGACTCACAGAACGACTTTGTTCCTTAATCATGGAAGTCAATCATAAACACACGCTAGCAAAACTAACCCACCAAAATAAAACAGAAAAAAAAATATTTTCAGCAAGAACTTAGAAACATTGCAATTTTTTTCTACCTAGTCGTCGTGGCCTAACGGATAAGACGTCCGGTGTATTCGTGTTGAGCGATGCACCGGTGTTCGAATCTCAGGCGGGTACCAATTTTTCTAATGAAATACGTGCTCAACAAATGTTCACGATTGACTTCCACGGTGAAGGAATAACATCGTGTAATAAAAATGAAGCTCGCAAAATTATAATTTGCGTAATTATTGGTGGTAGGAACTCTTGTGAGTCCGCGCTGATGGGTACCACCACCCTGCCTATTTCCGCCGTGAAGCAGTAATGCGTTTCGGTTTGAAGGGTGGGGCAGCCGTTGTAACTATACTTGAGACTTTAGAACTTATATCTCAAGGTGGGTGGCGCATTTACGTTGTAGATGTCTATGGGCTCCGGTAACCACTTAACACCAGGTGGGCTGTGAGCTCGTCCACCCAACTAAGCAATAAAAAAAAAAAAACTAATCGTTAGTTGTCTAACGGGCTATTCGCATACCTCGCATACCATTGTATCATCAAATGGCTCCGTAACAAACCGGACGTATTACCTACTGGACTACGGACGCTTAAAAGGCTGCATGATAACGTTACGGTCGTAAAACAAGAAATAAATTGTTTTCTTGAAATCGGTAAATACGGTCCGTCCGTTTTATTCTTGTAAGTCTTGTAACCATTCCCTTGAACATACGATATGTGTCAGTAGGTCAATTATGAAACGTCATTATTTATTAACGTTAGAAAAAAAAATCGTGATAAGCAGCGCTTACTTGTACTGAATATTTAATTGTAAAATAACGAAATGAACCCGTTTATTGGGATATAAAAAGTGGCCCATGTGACTATTCGGACCATAATGATCACTTTAAAAAAAAAAAAAAGTTTATCCGTTACTTGGTTGATGTGTAAAAGATTCACATACCAACAAACGTATTTTAGCATACTGCTTTTACTCACAATTCTTTAGAATAAAGGTCTAGAATAAAAATCATTTTAGTAGTGTTCAACTTCACGTTTTTATTGTCATCTTGTTATTTCCAAAGTTTTGAATACTTTATAGTAAGTATAGTAATCTCCGTGGGCACAGACGACTGAAATTAAATAATACTAGAGGTCCCGCAGTAGTCGAAATTCGACTATAATTAATTGGAATTGTAAGTTTGTACACTATTATTATTGTATTTTATACTTCTATAATCACAAATTTCGCCAAGACTACACTATAGAAAAATATTAACAAAGACAAACAATATTTAATCTATTCTCAATTTGACAACATACGTCAAGAACAAAAGTTTGACAATAAATAGTATGCATTCGTGTGTGCGTCAAATACATGGTATGTGGTGTGTGTAATGTTTTCTTTATTGTTTTAATGTATCTTTTATGCATTATTTAAAAAATATATTAGCATTGTGCACTTCTTCTCTATTTTCTCTATAAGTGTGGAAAATTTCATACTCCTCCGTCCACGCAATTTTCGTAAAAAGGGATACAAAGTTTTTGCTTCACGTATTAATATATACACGGAAATTTATCTATTCCGTGAATATATAGATAATGACAGTAAATAGCAAGAAATTAAACAGTAAATGTAGTTTTACAAATCATTCTGAATTTCAGTAGTATTTCAAAGTGCTCTAGTGTCAATTTATTAAAAATTGAAGTCCGATAATTTTCCAAAATATTTACAATAAAACGAAATAGAAATTTTAATACAAAAATAAATTTAAGCCACCACCACCTTAAGTGTTTAAGTTTAAGCTACCTTAACCTTATGTATCAGGCGTTAAAGCATAATCTCTCAGGAGTCGGCTTCATTATCGCGCTTTTCAGTTTGAAGTATAGATTAGTTGTTATTTTAATCCAAATTCGACTAATAGCATCAGTGCTAAATTAATGTTAGGCAGTTACACGTTTAAATAGAAACCATATTGTGAATGTTCACCGCCTATGCCTTTGCTTTCAAGGGTGGAATAGTCGAGTCAACTCGTAGTAGGTCATTCTTATTATGTTTATTTATTTATTGCTTAGATGGGTGGACGAGCTTACAGTCCACATGGTGTTCACTGGTCTCTGGAGCCCATATACATCTACAACGTAAATGCGCCACCCACCTTGAGATCACTTGAGATCACACCAAGTTCTAAGATCTCAGTAAGTTACAACGGCTACCCCATCCTTCAAACCGAAACACATTGCTGCTTCACGGTAGAAATAGCGGAGTCTTGGTACCTACCCGTGCGGACTCAAAAGAGGTCCTACCACAGGTGCTTCCGATGCGTTCTCTTACAGAAAACATTGTAGTTCATGTATGTATGGTATGGCTTGAAGTGGTCAGCACTATTCTATTCTGATTAGAACTTGTCTGCGAATACACTTTGTATTAGTAGATTAAGTTTTATATTTCTTAGTATATCAACAGGGCATAACCGATGGGTTGTTTGAATGATCTCTTATTTTGGAACTAGCGACCCGCCCTCGCTTTGCTTTGGAAACATTAAAACACACATGAAACCAAAAAAATAAAATATTTTTTTTTTTTAAAAAAGTAGCCTATATTCATCAGGGACAATGTCGGCTTCTAATGGAAAAAGAATTTTTCAAATCGGTCCAGTAGTTTCGGAGCCTATTCGAAACAAACAAACAAACAAATCTTTCCTCTTTATAATATTAGTATAGATAATTCATCACCACTTGTT